TGGGAAATAATCTAAAATTTACACATCTCAGTCCCCACCCTGTAATAGTATGTGGATTACTTTTGTTATTTCTCTCCCTTCAGCCCTTTCCAGTTTATTCCATACTAATTTTTTGGCTTGGACTCTTGAGTAATTATTTTTAGAAGAAAATTATTGTATGCTCCTGAGACCATTTAATCTATCTTAATTCTCAACACATTTCTTGCTTTGTTGATTGCTGGTAAATTATAATCAACTTGGATGATCACAGTTAACACTAGATCAGGAATTACTCTTAAATATTTATAATTTCTACACTTTGCTTTACATGTTAAACATAGAATTCCTCCTAGTAAATAAGGATCCAGTGATTGATTTCTTCTGGTTAATAAAGTCATTAAAAAAACCTTGTTTTCAAGAAAAGAGCTTTAAATAATTGGCAGCCTCAGCTGGCCTCTGATACCCTCTGATAATTTGCTAATGCCCAAATATTTGCTCTTCAAAGTATATTTTACATATCAAGATTGCAGCTTACTGTTGAGTTATATTGAATGTAAGATACTGTATTTTTACTCTCAAGACTTTTTTCTTTCATTTTATGGCAATTGTATATTGATGGTGAGAAAACTTAAGGGGGGAACAGATATAAGACTACCAACTATGAAGTGTTCTTTTCCTTCATAGTTTAGCTGGCAATTTAAAGACTCAGTTTGCACTATAAAGTTTTTTGAGAACTTGATGGTCTTCTTAAGACTTTATTGGTATGCCTTGCTTAAAGACTGCCCTGTTTAGCAACCATTCAAAATTACGATGGTGCTAAAAAAGTAACTTTACGAACAGTCTTCACATTTACAACCATCACAGCATCCCACGGTCACGTGATTGCCATTTGCATGCTTTAAAACCAGCTTCCGACAAGCAGAGTCACATGATGTCTCACTTAACAACCCACTGTGACCCTCTTAACAACCAAATGGGAAGTGACGTTGTAAGTCCATAGCAGTCACGTGATGTTTCACTTAGCAACCACATTGCTTAGCAATGGAGTTGCTGGTCCCAATTGTGGTCACTAAGTGAGGACTGCCTGTAGTGTCACTTATATTTATTGCTGATTTTTTTAAAAAAACCTTTTTTGTTAGCTTAAGTTTTAAAAATCTGAATTGTGTAGCAGAAATTAATACCTTTTCTGAAACTGAAGATTGAAATTTTGGAGCTTGCTTGCTTGTTTGCTATTTCAAGCAGAGCGTAAACTGGCTTCTTGGTTAGATTTAAATATGAATTGTTTTATTAACTTATTTAAATAACAGTGTAACTATTGTGTTGCCAGAGTAAATATGGCATGATATAATGAAAAATTAGAGAGAAAGCGTGTGAATATTGCATCAAACTTTTAAAGGCTTTGGGCCCACAACAAAAATATTGCAGCAATTACCATTCTTGTTTGTCCTCTGCTGCTCTTTTCTGCGGTATGTTAATTTCAGAATCCTCCATTAAGATGGGGTGAATGTTAGAGGCAGAAAATGTTCTTCCTAGACTTTTAATTACTGTGGAAAAGGCACTTGTTACTTATGAGAAGAGACTACACAAATGCTCATTTCCCTAGATCTGTCAGAATCTTTGATTTGTACACAATACTGCTCCGTCAGTGTGGTGCTGGTTCAGCAGCATCCTTGCATGCATAGACTTGGTAAGTATTTGAAGGCCAACTCTTGTATAATTGGTTGACTTTATGAATAGGATCCTCTTTTTTTGAACTAAAGGGTGTATACAGCAGTACAGGATTTTATGCTGACATCCCTTTACCTTTGTCTACTCTCTGCCAGGGTGCATTTCTGGAGGTGGTGTTTTGTTGTTAAAACTCTTTAAAAGAACAATATAGCACTTTATGATCAATTTAGGGCGAGTGTGATGTAGGAAGAGTTTTTTTTTTAATTTAAGCATCTGTGAAAATTAGAATTAAACAGATACTTTGTTCATTACAGCCATATTTTAATGTACAAGAAATCTTGAGTACAGAAAACTTATTTCTCTATGAAAAGATATAACAGGATTTTCTTAAGTTTTCCCCATCATATATTTGTCATTTTTAGATCAGTATAACTATAGGTAAAAATACAAACACTTTAAATATTTTCATTTGCTGTTTGATTTCAACCGTGTGCCATATCCCATACTGTTTTAGAGCGTATCCAGGCCTCAGGAGCTAGTCTGTAGAATGTTTATGAGGCTGCACTGGGAAAGAGATGGGAAGAGCTCAGTTACACATACAAAATACCATTTGCACTTCTATGGATGCAAGCCTAGAGAAGAATTCTGAAATTATTTATTCTTAACAGTGCTTTTTAGAATACATGTTTGTTTCTGGAACATCAGTAGAGGTTAATCAAGTGAGTAATTCAGATTACTGCCCTGCCTCATCTGAGAATCAAACAAATCATCAGACATGTATGTTGCTTTACTAATGATGAGGACCTTTATAAGTTTCTTTTTGTTGGCTACCCAGATTTGTAATAACTGGGGGATAGATGTGGCTGGTGGGCTTCAACATGTTAAAATGAAAGGCAAAAGCATTCCATATCTAGTTCCGTCATGTTTTCCCCTTCTCAGTAAACCATTACCTAGCAGCAAAAGGAAGGACCGGAAGTCTGGCTCCTTTCTGAACTGTTTCCGTGTCAAATGGGAACAAGGTTGCAATTTTAAGAAAGGTGCCTGATTCTGCTTTCCCCCACTCCCCTCCAAAACCCCATTTGCTGATTCTTGGTAAATGAGCACAGAGTAAGCACGGTCAGATGGGTGGGAGGATAAGAGTTCACTAAAGTCATCTCCCCAAGGATGATTCTAAACCAGTGTTTCTCAACCTTAGCAACTTTAAGATTTGTGGACTTCAACTCCCAGAATTCTCCACCCAGCATGCTGGCTGGGGAGGTCTG